AATCATATACATTGTATATTGACAAAATAAAAATTTAACGAAAAAAAAAAAAAGAAATTTTATAAACCTATGAGGAATAAGCATTGGCATATTTCAATAACATCATAATAATCTTACAAATTTACTAATTTACATATTTGGATTTATGGATAAAATGGAAGAACTTGACTTGGTACATAGATACGTAATTCTAATTCTGGTTCCACCATTCACAAACTGTGATTTCTTCGGAGATGCTTCATCTCTCAAACCTCATGTCTTCTCTTTCAAAAAATGATGCGGTTGAGCTAATGAATCTCTATAGTGTCCATTAGCTCTAATCGTTTTGATTCTATGATAAAATAAGCTTGATTAGTATCTAAAAAATAATATGTAAAATATAAGGAAAACAACTTACTTGTTAGTGTGACATCGATAAGAACATCTTCCTTGGTGGGATTTTTGAAATGTATCATGATACATGATTGAAAACCAAGGTATGTGGTTACTTTTTCTGTGTCCATAGGCTGGGGAAACAGTCCTACTCCAGAGAGGTAGAATTTCCATTCTTTAAACTGTTTGAAGACAAACATTCATAACATATCTGTCCTAACAGCATACATTTTATTTGCAACACTTAATAAATGTAATATACATAAAAATTTGACAGATAAGAAAAGTTTTGTCAATATTTAACATGCATTGTTCTATTTTTCTTTTGTTTGCCAGATTCCTTTTGATTTTATTGAAAAATCACCCTATGTGTTTTTACATTGAAAACGAAAAGGACAAATTACCAATATTCAAATATTAAACATGCTTCAATGTATATAAGGTTATTTATAGCAGCATAAAACAGAAATTTTAATTAAGGATTTTTAAAAAAAATAAATTTGTCTAACAAACTGGGTATTAAACACAGCATGAATTTTTTAAAATTTTAGGGTGAATTTCAAATAAAATTCAGATAGCTTCCACCTACAGGCAGAGTAGGTGAGACACGGATTGAAGTCCCATTAAAAAGAAATGTGTACAACTTCATGCTATATTCTTTATCCCCATCACCCAGTACAGTGTATTTTCTGTTATCAAATGGTATGAACAAATGGCTCAAAAATTTTTTGAAGGAGACTGAATGTGGCTACTGTTTTTACCCTGCTTTTACCTGGGTATCATAAGTCTGTAAAATTCTGTTCAAAAATGTTCTCTTTGTGTTCATTTAGAATGAAAGTCCTTTGAGAGTACAGTAGTCAGTGACCTGCTTCTAGGTATTTTATATTTCTGCTTCAAGCATTTTGCTTTATTCATCTTCAAGGTGAATAAAGACGCCATTGAGAAAAGTCAATGAACAATGTCCTGGTTTATAATTTCTCAAACTACATAGATGTTTTCAAGCTTAAATTACAGATAAAGAAACTTGCTTTAAGATGGTTTCAAATTAAAATAGGTGGTGACAGGAAGTCCATAAAATAAGGTCTCTTAGTAGAGGATTAAAGGCAAATTTTATCCACATATTATCTTCAAATGAGTATATTACTATTAGTCACAGATTCTACTAGCATAACATGTTCACTTTATTTTCAATTATGATGTCCTAATTTTATCTCACATAATTGACTGGCTGAAATAAAAATTAATTAAATAAGCAACTGATTGAAGTCAATTATTTACTTTTTGGCTATTTTATAAAAATAAATCCTAAATAACAGTAATCAGGTTACTTTAAACCATTGAAAATAAGCCAAACTACAAAAAGAAGGTCGCGTTTTCATGCTTCCTCAGCTGGCCTTGAATACTGGAGTTTCTGTGTTAAACCACATCCCACCACTATTGAATACTGATATCTGACATTTATCATAATGGTGATTAAATATCCACTTGGCTTCAGAGACGAAAATTAAAAAGTAACCCAGTGAGTATGTGCATTAAAAAAATAAGTAACATTTTCAGTCCCTATTTATCTCAAACTTCTTCTAAAGAAGAGACAGTAAAACTTTTAAAGATCCATTTCTGATGTTTTTGAAAGACAGAAGAAATGGAGCTAAAAGGTAGTAAATCTGGCTTGTATACTGAGCAGTGCTCCAAGGAATGCTTGCTCTGAATCAACAGAACTTTCCATAGACACATGCTGCAAGGATCATAGAGTCATGTTGGGTTATAAAACCATTTTTATAATTTATTCCTTCATTTTTGCTATTCTGACGTTTAGATGAAAGGAGTCACACGATAAAGTATGAATGAAATAATCAAGGGCAACTATTTCAATAAAAATGAAACACCCAAAAACTAAGAAAGATATTCTCAGAACATAATGTTTGAGACCAAAGAGAAGTTCCATTTACCACATTTGCTGCTTACTAATGTTCCTCTTATTTTGTTATGCAATAACAGGATCTCATTTAGAGACTCTGGTAGCATAACACGAGTTCATGGTATCTGTAGTTGTAATGTCCTAACCAAATTAATATCGTGATTCAAAATCACACAAATAACTTTAGCCTACACTTAGAGTTTTACAATGCGCAGCTCTTCATATGGATCCAAACCAGAAACAGATGAAAAAGAGAATAAACCACAGCTGTTTCCCTCAGTTCAGCCAAGAGGTGTAATCAGATGTAGTTAAAGTTTATTCTATAAGCATGGCCATTAGTTGATTTTAGATTAATCAGCTACTCAGTTGTGTGTGTCACTTCAGATGGATTTAACCAGTTAAATCAAGAGTGGAATAAAAATCTATCTGAGTTTTTTTCCTAACTGTAAAAGTTATTCTAAACTCCTGGACTTAGGAAAATATACTCTAAAGCTTTATTTAAAACAAAAAACAAAAAACAAAAAACTTTAGATGCCTGCTCAAACATAGTATACACTGTATTTTCAAAAGTTCATTCAATTAATAGTTTATGATGATCTCATTTTGCTTGCAAAGAATGTCAACTGGATGATTAAAATAAAAGCAGAAGACCTGAATGATTCAGGGGCAAAAAAAAGGCAAGAAAAATCACAAAGGTTAGTGCAATACGTTGAAAAGGCTGAAGAGATCTGGATCCGGTGGCTGAAAAGTTTAATTATTGATTCAAGTCTAACCATAGATGATTTGCTAAAACCTGGAAGGAGATACTCAGAGTAAGTGAAATCAAGCACCAGTGTTCAATTGATTCATGAAAGGTTTGAGTCAATTATTTACTTGTTTGAGTTCTCTTATGTTTGATAAAGAATTTAGTATACAACTTCTAGGCTAGGATTTTCTGAAACTATTAAGATTAAGAACTGATGATTTCCCTGATGACTAGAAAGACTATCTTTGAAGAGATGTACTTTCTATGCAAGCAACTAAATTGTCCCCAGTAATTAAGAAAAAGGGGTTCTAACCCTGTTATGAAGCAATCACTTAAAAAATCAACCTTATTAAAATTATTTGTTTAAAAGGAAATAATATTCACTATACTTGCCCTTCTGTATAAGAAGGATTACTCTTTGTTTCCTTTAATATTTTTGAGAATCAGGCACACTTCCATAATATGTGTTTCAGGTCATGTATGAGGATACTTCAAAAAGTTCGTGGAAAAATAGAATTTAAAGCTAATATGAATCTTCCCATGAACTTTTTGAAGTACCCTTGTATAAGTCAATTATTATTCAGGAAATTTAACAGCCTCAAAAAATTTTTTCCAAAAATAAATTCAATTTTTTTTTGGAAAAGAGAACATTTCAGTCACCCACAGGCCCTGCACTGACATGTGAACCCCTGTATTATGTTTGATACCACTGCTCCTCAGATGTCAGGATTTTGTGAGCTTCTTGGTGTCTCCTGGTATATAAAGTACATTCCTCCATTTATGTTCCTCCCCATCAACAATTGAAGAGGTAAAAATAATAATAAATTTTAAAAGTTACATAAAATTTTCATTGCCGGTAAGAGTGTTACAATCACTTGGCAAACTGTACATAGCTGTAAAAAGTAGCCATGAAGATGAGTTGAAGCCAGATGTCCTAGGTTCAGTTCTCAGCTCAGCCTTTTACTAGCTGCCTGATCTTAATTTCTCTGTCTCAGATTCCTAATCTGTAAAATAATGTTGATAACAATACATCCTTTATAGGACTATGGTGAAAATGAATTGAGATTTTTTTTAGAATGACATGTAGCACATTTAGAGATGCTCAAAAATGATTAACTATTGTTTTTAAGAATTATTATTTAGGAACACTGTACAGATAAAATGGAGTGCAAAAAATAACATAATATTTACAAAATTGGACTCTACATTTTTATACTTAAGTTCATGGAAAGTTGAGTAGTAAAACCCATGTCAGAAAATTTGACATTTACATTAAAATATCTATATTTTGAATCTGGGTATATATTCTCTTTCATTCATTTGACCTATGGATTTAAAAATACCTTCTTCAGATGGCTGCACATACATAATGTATACTGTACTTTCAAAAGCTGACTTAACTGATGATTTACAATGTATTTGTTTTACTTGCAAAAGATGTCAACTGGATGAATTTGTTTTATTTATGTATTAATTTTGAAACTTAGCTAAATTGACTTAGCCCAAGAATAATCTTATCATACCTGAGCACAGTGGAAGTTGATAGAAGCTTTATGACCAGCTCTTCCAAGTGCAGAAGGATAAAAGTGAACAGATATCTCTTTGGTGGTGTGAGGAGGTATGATCAGCTGTGTAAATTTAGAACAGAGAAACAGAGAAAACAATTAATATTTTTTAAAAATGTATGTATTTATTAATTGACAAGTACTGATTGTATGTATTTATGGGGTAAAGAATTATATTTCAATGCACACGTGCAATGTGTAATTATCAAATCAGGGTAAAATTTATCATTTCTTTGTGATGATAGTATTTGAGCTCCTCTTTTTTAGTCATTTGAAAACAATAAATACAATTAATTATTTTTAATTATAGATGGCTACCACTAATGTAAACAACTAGTTTTGTATCCAAAATCAACATTTTTGTTTGAGTCAACATCTTTGTGTGCTAGGTATATGCAGGGCTGATGTTTGGTGATTAATGTGTTGCCTTACTTGAGTCTGTAGAGTATTAATTTGAGTGACTTCTTTAGAGATTGTGAAGGAAGCCAGGGATTCCATCACAATGTAATAAGGGCTTGATTATAATATGTCATCAAAATGCTACGCTGGCACTAATGTAATATGTAATATCAATACTTACGGAATGATAGAATGAATGACACATGTCTGAAAATTAAGTCAGTTATTTTTCACTAATTAATTTTGCCAGGTAATCTTTGAAAAAGCACAACATCAATTTAGTGGTATCATTAAATCCTTGTAGAATATAGCACTTGGTGCTTAATAAACTCTGATACTGACCATGAAATGCAAATAAAAACTTAATATTACATTTCCATCAGAGTCACCTTCTTACTATATATGTGTGGTTTATCTACTGCAAATATTTTGATCTCAGGTTAGCTCTCTTTTTTGATGCTTCAAATATTTTGAGGTTATCAGTTAATATACACTTTAGGAGTGTAAATTAACTTCAACATCAGCCTTACCAAAAAAATAAGAAGAAAAATTGCATTTCATATAATCTTTCAACTTAGCAAATATGAAAAAAATAGTTTATTCTTTCTATGGATAATTATACTGATATTTATACCTATCCACCTACCTATAGGGAAAGGAAAGAACGCTATCTATCGTTTTGGAAAGATTATAAAATACTACATTAATTTGGATTTTAATTCTAGTTCTTCCAATTACTAACCATGCGATTAAAATATTTTAGCCTCTCTGGCTTCAAATTCCTCTTCTATAAGCATAAATTGAGGTAGTGTATCAAGCATAACTCAGTTAAAAATCTTTTATTTCCACCTAAAACTCACTGACATTCACTGAAGAATGTTATCCCCACAGTTTTAAGGAAAGAAAGATAAACACCACTGGTAGGCACTTAACTGCAGCAAACCTACTAGTTTAGTGTAATGGTATATATTTTTTGAAGTAGAACCATTTTGAAACTTAAAAACATTTCATGTCAAGTAAATGTCATCATGAGAAACAATTCCAATGTGTGAGTTTGCACTGGATCCTAGTTTAGGAGGGAAAGTTAATCTTGTGACAGTTGAGTAAACTTGAATTCAGATGGATTCTAGATGATCTTAAGAAGGGACACAAAAAGTACTCACAATTTGTAATGATGGACATGATAATAGTTTTGTTTTGATCACCACATACTGTACACAAATATTGATAGTCAACTCTGTACCCCATAAATACACATAAATAAAAGTTTTTAGAAAAGAACAAAAAAAGATATGTAATCTGAACTATTTAGGTTGAAATATCATGAAGCCTGCAACTTTCTTTTTTTTTTTTTTTTTTCCTTTTTGTCTTTTTTCGTGTCTGGCAATGGACCGCAACCCTCAGTGTCGCCCCCGTACTGGACTGGGACCGGCAACGGGATCGCAACCCTCGGTGCTGCGCCCGCCCCTCGCTCAGCCAGTGAGCGGGAACCGGTCTGTATGTGGGATCCGAACCCTCGGCGGGAGCGCTGCCACATTCCCAAGCGGCGCACTGTAGCAGTGC